ATCAGAGAGAGAGAGAGAGAGAGAGTATTAACTAGCCTCGTAGAAACCTCGGACGATAGACTAGGAGAGCACACGTCAACCCGAGTTAAGACTCCACCATTTATTACATCCATAGGAGCGATCACTACAGAATTAGAAGGTCATCAGATAAATATCGTCGATCTAACCTCTCCCTCAAATTCTTCTCCCTGACATCCGACCATAGTCAACCTCATGGAAGGTGGATCCAATCAAACAGACCATGTAAAGCCATTTATATCGCTATCTCCAATCGGCTCCCCAAGAAAGTTTAATTCAAACCGGAAGTACACCAGACCGAATTTCACCCATCGGGCCTACCCTTCGAACCGGAAAACGTTATAAAGACGCCAATCGTGTTCAATCCGGACTGGCTGAATACTACTTCCATCATTACAGCAATGGAACGATTGGGCCGACCTATGACTCTCGACGAGTTTAGGGGATGGACAGTCAACAGAGCCTCAAATCGCGATGCCGCTTGAATTCCGCAAAATCTTGACTCCGCTTTCATTTAAAAACTTAAACTCTTTTATGCTTAATTTTTTTCCACTCTTTTCAAGCCGCTTACCTTGGATAATTACCTGATTGTACATTACAAAAGAAAATTCTGCCGATTGGTTATGGTAGTGCTTTATCCAGATTAACCACTAACCTACTTTAAGTATTTTGCTGCTAAACTTTTTACCGGGCACTATTAGCCAATTGATTTAAACAGAATTAAGAGGCAGTGCTAGATTTTTTTCACATTGGGTGAAAACCTTGGGTTTTCCCCTTTTTTTGTTCCATTATTCACCTCCTGCCTTAACATACTATTTGTGGGTGAAAAATATTTGTAACCATTAATTAATTTTTCGCGGGGAATGTCAAAACGGATATTACTGTTAGCGACCGTTTAACCTTCAAGCTGTCTGTTCGATTTTGTTACTAAGTTAACACCTGCCAACAAAAGCGCAACGAATTTTGGCTTAGCTGATGTTGGTCACTTGATGTTTCTCATTGCAACCAATCTTGTTAACTCACCTTATCTTAATTGAACCTTTTAAACTCCATTTTAGTATCATAGCGTAGCCTATATTTAACCTTGTCTTTTAATCTAGTCTTAGATAAAAGTCTACTATTCGATAGTGGAGATCTTTATTTTTCTCGTCTTAAACTAGTCTTAGTTTAAGATAACCCGACTCATGTTAACTCGTGAATTAATCCAATTTTTCAACAAAATTTTTAAAGAAACTTGCAAAAAACTCAGTTTTATTCTGTTTTCATTCATGAAAGTCTTTTGCAGGAGCAGTTTTTCTCAGTCTAATACGATCAAAAGCTTTTTTTTGGTTGAATCCGTTCGAAATATTTTTTGTTGATGAAAACAGTCTGTACATAGATGATTTCCGTCGAGAGAGAACAAGCATGATTGAGCATTTTGAGCATGATTCGAGACGATAAAAAAACATATTTTTGGTAAAGTTGGTTGAAAAATTTCAATTAGCGTTCTGTGAATTGCGCCGAATGTCAGATTTACGAAATTGTTTTTCCTGTTCTGGTTAGGATTTTCGACTGCGGAAACGTGCTAAAAAGGTCAAATAATGGTCGCTGTAGCTCACTGAGTGTTCAAATTAACGGCGAGTGTATTCGCAATGGTGTGGCAACCGCAATATTCGTGATACGTTCTGATAGTTTGTTTAAGTCTAGTCTGAAAAAAATGGCAGCAGTCTGTGATTCGTCGTGAAATTCTGAAAAACATTCTCGAGGTCAGCAACTTCCTGATCAGCATTTACGTGATTTCAAATATGAAAAGAAGCGGCTTTTAGAGGCAAAAATATGCAATGAGAAAACCCTCAGAAATCATAGTAATAATGATTTTCAAAAAGGTCGGATTTTGGAGAGATTCCAACTTGGATACGAAACTAAATTTTGAGCTATCTGTATTTTAAAACAATTATTTTAAATTTAAAAAAATGTCCATCTTATCAAAACTGGAAACATTGGCTAATTACAAAAACATACTGCGAGAAATTTCGCAAATAAGTTCACTATAAGCCAACCTACTGTAGTGCAACTATTCTGCAGCAGCTACCTCGTTTTAAAAATTAAAAAAATCACTGACAAAAACTCCGACGCTTATTGCTTAAAAAACAAAAAATTGCTCTTATCAGAAACATGAAAAGCTCGCATAAATGGCAAATGTGCATATTTGGAGGTTTTTACTAATCAGAACACGAGAAATCCTAACAATAACCTCAGTTACAATAACATGAAACAACAGTAGAAACATTTCGAAGTTAGAAAGTTTCCAGTTTGACTGCACTGCACAAATTGCAAAGAGGATTTTCTGCTAGAGGAAGTTTTACAACATCAGCAAAGCTTTTCTCGTGTGACGTCTAAATCAAGTTGTCCGTCCACTTCGTTTTTTTTTTAAAACATGCAATTACCGTTTTTTTAAGGAAATGCAAGCATTGTTCAGTGAATCATGCCAAATTTTTTTCGACGAAATACATTTCATGGTCTGGCAAGCAATTTTGATCGCTATAAAATGGTGAAAAAGCGGTGCCGTTTTTCCGAGAAGAAACCAATAAAAACTCCCAGAGATAATTTCATTGCTCAGAACCAGAAAAAAACACGGCCTAATCAAAAATTCCTCATTGTAATATGAGACTAATTGCTGGTTTTCTACGCTCGAAATTGAACTAAAACATAAAACGTTTTTTGAAGTTTTGTCATGTCGTTAGAATCACCACTACAGGTAGGGAAAAAATGATGAAAATTTGACAACTTCCAATGATTTTTTGATTAACCTTAGTTTCGATTGAAATAAAAATACCGAAAAAAAACTTTTAACTAAATCACACCCGAAGACAAAGTATCCACTGACTTTTATAGTCGGAGCAACAGTGTTGGGCGACCCGCAACTGAGGTAAGTTAAAAGTAGTTCATTATAACAGAAACTGTTTTGTCTAAATTGAGTTTAATTTCGAGTTTCAATGTCAGTGTCTATAGCGAAAAAATTAATTACAACCAATTACAATTTGATTAAATTGCAATGTTTAATCAAGCAAAAAATCCATAACAAATTAAATATGATTAATTATTTTTCGATTTTGTAGAAAAAGGCTAGAAAACTCCATCATAATCGTCGCTTTTCAATTTTTTTTGGAATGCAATTTTCAACCCATACAGATTCTTTTGCACGTTTTGAACTAATTCATGTCAATTTTTTTGTTGGGGGAGGGGGTTAGCGGTGGTATAGGACAAAGGGAAAATGTTAGGGGTTGGGGTAAGGTGGCAAACGGGCAAACGTTGGGGGGAGGGGGTTGGGTTTTGGAGTTGTTCTGCAGTTGGAGGAAAGTTAGTTTACAAATCGAGTAAGTCGTACACTCTTTCTGCAAAACCAAAAACACCACGCAAAACCAAATTAAAGTAAAAAAACTACTTTATTGAATTTAAATGGTTTATAGTTAATTTAGATTGATAAAACAATGGATAACAATCAACTTTTATTCCCCTCAGATAGGAATTTGTTGTCTGCGGAAAACATGGGAAGCAATTATTTTTTTAACTTATCAAACCACAAAGAGCCATTAGAATTGATTCTTTTGACTTTTCTTCTCGACCCAGGGGATTTTCTGTGCAGGATCTGAAATGCTTTATTTCTTACATAACCTGATTCTCAGATCTGAAATTCTTTATTTCAGAGCTTGACAAGTATTTACAAATTTCAGATCTGGGGAAGTTCATGCTTGTGGAAACAAGTTTGTGCATTCTTACGTTTGAGACTTTGCTGAAAACCTGCTAGTAGCTAGCAGAAGCTATCAAATACAAAAGTATCAAAAAATACCAACAATTTTGTCAGCATCGTTAATTTTTCAGATCTGAAATAACCACGAAAAACTAAATTTTAGGTCTGGAATTAGATTTGAAATAGCTTTTTTCACATCTGACATATTCAAGAAAAAAATTCAGATCTGAAATTAGATCTTAAATAATCCATTCTTAAAGTATCCGAGCGTTATTTAAACATTTCACAGCCCATTTTACATCTGAAGTTTAGATTTGAAAAAAGATTCTTTTACTAAAAACATTTACTAGGTACGTGTTAGATGCGGGATGTAACCAACTTTAACTCAAAGCGTGCTTACGACTTTGATTGCGTTCACTTTTGCATCTCAATAAATGAAAAAAAAATTATAATATTGGAGTTTGATTGCCTTTTTTTAAAAAGGTGAAAAATTCTCCTATAACTGATTTGCAATATAAATTGATGGTGTATTAAATAGTATCAGCACAATCTAATTTTAATCGATCAAAATTGAATATTTTTAATTTTTTATAGACCCTGAAAATGAAACTCAATTTTAATCCGATTTTGCCTTGGAGCTCCAGTGCGGAGACGTTTTTCAAGCAGTTTCAGCCCTACTCTTCAAATCCCACCGACCACTAAACAACTAATATGGTTCTTGTTTTTTTTCTGTAATCAGAAAAGTTGTTTTTTTCTTTTATGAAACTACACTCAAGTTTAATTGATGATTATGACTTAATAAATCAAAGTAGGTTTGTTGATCGATTTCTTACCACCCTGTTAAAACTTTCATCTCTTCCCTTTAAGAAGGGAAAATCAGATGTTACCTTCAGATTTGTACTAATTTATTATAAATTTTTTTCATTTGAATTAAAAGAGCTACATGTTTGATTAGAATCGAGAAATTTCAGAAATCAAATCAAAAACGATATTTGAAGTTTTCAGATTTTTGAGAATCAAACCTCGATACAAAATAAAACTTTGAGGCTAACATGAAGTTTCAAAAAATAAGAGTTTGAATTAGGTTTTTGAAAATAATTTTTTTGCCAATTTGGAAATAATATTTAAACGACAAAAAAAAAGAAACAAATTGCAAAATTTACTGGAAACGTTTCACAAATAGATTTTTTACAAAGGGAAATAACTACAATTCATGAAATATATTATACTTAAAACTGCATAGGTAGGTTGATTTTTTTTTACAGCGAATGACATCTCTTTTTTTTTATCGAATAACAACAAACTACTGTATTGAAACTCTTCTGCAGCAGATGCAATATTTTTCAAACAAAGAAAAAACACTGACAAAAACTCCGTCGATAATTGCTAAAAAATACTTTTTTCAAAAACATCAAAAGCTGTTTTAAATTGCAAATGTGCACTATTTTTGAGGGGATTTATAGATAGAAGTACGACAAAATTTACAAAAACTTTGAACATCAGTATTTTAATATCCACAGTTAGAGAGTTCCCAATTCGAACTTAGCTTCTCCACTGCACTGAAAGTATTTAGTCGCAAATTGCAAAAAATATGATGTTTCTTCTAGAAAAAAAACACACAGCGGGATTCGAACCTCAGTTCAAGTGCAAGTTTCATCCATCATTGTCATATTTCCAGTCATTGCTGTGGTAGTCCCATTATTTCGTCCGCTCGGCAGTTTATAACACCAGCACAGTGTTTCCTGGGCGACGTCCAAATCAAGTCGGTCGTCCGCTTCGTTTTTCCGAATGAAGATTGACTTCAGTAGCTCGCTGAACGCGTCTCGGTACTTTTTCTGAGTCAGCGCGTAAATATACGGGTTGCAGCTTGTATTCAGGGTAAACTGGAGTCCTGTAATCTGTTTCAATACGCTCATCAAACCCACCCAGTTCGCGTCTTTATGGAGCCCGAAGATCAAAAACACGTAGAAGGGGATGGGAAACACGAGAAAAGTCAGACAAGCCATTCCGACAATAATGACAAATCCGACAATCATTTTGACAGGAATTTCACTGTTGAAACTCATCGAATGCCCGCCGCCGCCGCTGTTTTTCTTGTCGTTTGACTTCCCGTTTGAAGTCGAAGCTCCGTTTCGAATCTGGGACGAGTAGCAGGTCATCTGTTTAGACCTGCAAAACAAACAAAAATCCGAACTGTTGTTACTTTTAGATAGTAAAAAGTTATGAAAATTAAATCTAAAGCATCACTTTTGAACGTCACTTTTTCTGCTTTGATACTAGCGCCTTGAACTGTTTTTTTTTTTAGCTTAGAACTGTTTTTTTTAGCTTAGAATTTTGTTAATTTTGCATTTGTCCTCGACCGAATGGATTTCATTTTTAGCTTGAGACAAAAAAATCTAATTAATTTTGTGAATACCCGTTTTTGGCCGCGTGATCAAAAAATTTAAATTCTCAGAACCCATAACTGACAAAAACTAGCTATTTTTTTCCGGTTTTAAGTGTCTATAAATGTCAATTAGCGAGTGAAACAGGAAAGCATCGGTTACTATAACGGCAACCAAATATCCCACTTTGGAAGTATAATTAGGTAGAAAAAACACAAACCCCAATTTTTTAGAATTCCAGGAAGCGCATTTGCGACCTAAAAATGAAATGAGACTGATATAGGTCTCATTATTTGAGCCAAATTAAGCTAAGTCCCACTTCTTTGCTTTTTATTTGATATTTGTTGCAAGGGTAGAAACCGGGTAAACCCTGGATTTCAAACATCTTACCAAAGACTTTCACAGTATTGAAAAACGCTACTAGTAGATTGAATCGCTACTCGTACACTTATTTAACTGATGAGCTGACTGAAAAACTGAAATAATCATGTTTTTCTCGAGTTTCACCTCAAAAGTTTTTTTATTTTTTTTAAATTTCCTCCAAAAAACCCTGTTTGTTCAGCAGTAAAAAACTGTTTGTTGAGCAGTGATTTTGTCTCAATTTATAGGCTCAAAAATTCAAACATCTCGCTGATTAAGGGCTGCTTTGATTTTTTTTCAGCCCGCGTCTTTATTAATTTACTAATATCTTAGCTTCTTTGTTTATTTGAATAAAAGAAAAAAGTTTCACTTTCTGCGTGATTGTTCGGTAGCAGGGCAATAAACTCTATCCCAATTTACCTATACATCATTTTAATCAATTTCTTTCCACGCTAAATGTCAATATGCCCCTATACTTATCTACGCTATACCAGTCTTTTTTACGCCAATCTACCAGCAATAATGTAATCTGAATTCATTTTAAGTGCTTGTTGGAGGCGGAATGATAACATCATATATTAACTCATTTGGGGAAGTTTGTTTTTGAGGAAGTTTTTGAGAAGAAAGATAAAATCTCTATACAGACATAGTTATCTTTTGCAGATGAACAGAGACACGGCTGCTCGCATCAGGGCGAAACCCTGAAGGTTCCGACTGAATTTTACTTTTTTGGAGTACTCATTTAAATTATTGATGAGACGTTCAAATAAAAAAAAGTTTTTTGAGATTTTTTTGAAAATTATCCCTCAAAACGCTATGTAAAAGCTATGTAAATATTTCTAATTTTGCAAAGTTTAAACTAGACTAAATAGTATGACTCAATGCAATTCAGAACGACTTCTAAGGCTGATTAAAGCTCCGCTGACGCGTTACTAGCATGAAATATACCACGCGTTAATTGTCTTGAATTGGCCGAGTTGGCCAAACTTAAACTCCCCACAATTCACAAAAACTCATCTGCAGTGAAATATCTTTCATTTTTCAGCTCAAAACAACAACACCTCTCGAATGATATTATAAAAGTTTGTGAAACTTTAATAGTTAGAAAAACCAAAATTACCTGGAGAGAAAAACCACCCAGAGTACAAATAATGCGTAATTTTCGTCGAAAACGTCGCATCAACAATTTAAAAAGTTTTTGAGTTGATTGACAAAAAACTTTTCCAAAGTGTCACAAGTTTCTACATCGAAAATTGTGTCAGAAAACTTAGTCATAGTTTTTCCTTGTTGACTGAAAACACTTTGTATTTTGCAGACCTGAGGTTTATTAAAAATTCAACAATTATTTCCAAAAATTGAACTTGCAAAATCAACGCACTCAGACTAACAGAAGCTACAACTAATATACCAAAACTACCATGAAGTATCGAACTTACTCCGATATGGTGAACCAAACTTTACGGGAAAGAAAAATTTTCGCTCAAGGTTTCTAATTGACAAAAAATTGATAGCTGAACGCATAGTTCCAGACTTAGAAATATGGAAAACTCAATAAAAAAACTAAGATATTGTCATTTTGAGAATGTCAATGTTTTTTCAATATAGGACTGGTAAACTTTAGGTGAAAGAAAGTCTTTTCAGCCAACCCCCATTTCCCCGTGTACCATAGTGGGGGAGGATAGGTAGTCATGAAATTGTTTGTCTTGAAAATTGATGGATTACTAATTTAGTGCTTTTCTATCATCACTTAATGGAGACGGAAAAACTTCAGCAGCAAAAAAGAATTAAACTTAAGACCTCATGTAACTTTCAAACATTTTTTTAAATTTAACCAGTTTTATTGAGTTTTCTTCAAAAAAATAACAAAGTACTTTAAACTATGTAAAATATACAGAAACATACACCAATTTTCATTTTCGATCTGCTGTCAATGTTCAATCGCGATATAAACTAGTGCTTATTTCTACATCAGATTTTTTCTGGAATAAAAAATAATAATAGTTTCTCGTTTTTTGCTTTCGTTGTGAAGATGTAATGATTTTCCTGAGTTAACTGAATTAAAGCTATGCCTAAAGCTTTTGAAACAACTCTGCAGTTTTCAAAGAGAAGCGGTTTCTTCTGGTTTTCTCTTTGAAGCTACGTCGTTTAGTTTTTTTTGTGTTTGAGACGATCAAAAAGAGAGATAAATTCTGCTTTTAGCCAAAGCAAAAATTTTAGCTTCTTTATCTATGTTACAAAAACGCCGTAGACTCTGTAAATTTCTGAAAACAATTAGTTTCGGGCGACGGCGCAGGGTCTATAGGAAAAATTTTGGGATCAAAAAAGCTCGAATCCATTATGTCAGAAAAACGCTAACCGCACTAATTTCAATAATTGAGCAGACTTCCATTCATTTTCACTGTTCAGTTTATTTTCATTATATTCTAGTAAAACAGTAACCTTTTGACCAGCCCGAAGTACATATTGGCGCCAAAAAGTGTGTCAACTTAAATTTCATATCTTTATACAGTGAACCTTTTCAACTATATCCCAAAAAAGAATGTATGGTGTTAAGTTTTGGCTTGAAACTACAATTATTATAAAGTTTTCGCAAAGAAGGTATTACCGTTATAAGGTAAAAAAAGTTCAGATGCTCAGCTGTAGAAATAATTCTTCATATGGGCCGGGTCGATTTCTCGTTTCCGTTATTTTTTCGTACCAAAAGTGACAGAGTACTTGAACAAAAAATTTCGAAATTAACGGAGGGGAGGGGGGGGGGGGGTGGGGGCGGTAGTTTATGTGTCGATGATGGAACTATACTCGAGAAAAAAATTGCACCCCTACATTCGCTACTGGATGCAACTAGTTATAACATCGGCTACATTTGGCATTGAAATAATATTGTATCTAATTTGCTGTTTCGCGTTGGTGTCTATTATACCAGCATAGCGTGAACAAATTACTTGAAAATCAGTCCTTCGCCACTTAAACATATTTACCTCGCAGACAACGTGGCCACACCTGCGTGCCTGAAGGCTATTGCGGTCTCAAAACTGAAGAAAAGCTTTTGTCTTTTACTTTCACGCACGATTAAGTCGAACGATAAATAGCCCGAAAAGATAAATCGATTACTTTTAAACGCATATATTTTAGGTCGATTAAAAGGAATTATTTGATCAGTTAGGTCCAGTAAACAATGTTCACATTTGAAACTTATTTGATACGAACTTTTTCGCATGGCTACAAAATTCCGAATAAAAAAATTAATTCTATGCTCAAACAAAAAATTTCCAAAAAAATGCAAATAGTTGTTGAATTGTTTTTCAAGAAATAAGTTGCAATTAACATTCTTGAAAATCAATTTAACATCTATTTCGAGAGTACACCTGGATTCTCAACTGGTGATATTTCTGTCAAACATCAGAGAAAAAAAATAAATCGAAAACTGGATAATGCGCTAATTAACTACCGTATTTATTTTTGTTTTTTGTAGCTTCCGTTATAAGGTGACGTCATTTAAATGTGTCCCAAGGCACTTTTGTCGCCAAATCCGAAAAAACCTGTGAAATAGGCAGTTGTCTGGAGTTCCACAGCAGAAGATGAATTTTGTGCCTCTAAGGCTGGCAGTGGAGTCCACTGCTCTAATATGACCTTGATTCGTTTAATTTCCCTTGACCTCTGGTAAAAAGAACTCTGTTTTTTGAGCTTTGGCTTTATAACGCGAAGGATTTATTTTTTGGTGAAAAAAAAATAGAATTAGCCTCAAGATACAGATTACAAGGAAAATTGATTAGATTTTGCACTTTTGTTCACGCAAAAAGTTATTGACGATTAAGTCAGCTCAAAGGCACCATCTGAAACAACAAATAATTAAAACGTTTTTCTAACTCAACGGTTCGATGGTTTTCGGAAGCTAAGATGCCTCAAAAAGTTAGAGGCATCAAGACATTCATGTTGCAATTAGACGCTTCAGTTCTCCCGGTAAAATACAAAATGATCAAACGTTTTTAATTTTTTGTCGCTCTCTAAATTTCTTTGATGCAAATTGTTTGTTGAAAAAATGTCTAAAAAAAGTTAACATGATTAATTAGTTGTACTTTAAATTAAGTTCACTAGAGCGGTGGTGAACTGGTTACGTCTCCGCTTCTGAATAGAAGGGTCGGATGTTCGACGCCCACCATGTTCGTGTCTGTTGCTTCAGGTTCAGGGTGAGTCAAACTTGCTCAGCCCAGAAAGTTATCCAAAAAAATTGCATGTAGTTCTTAAGAAGGGGCGCAACAGCGGTTCGCCGTGATGAGCTGTACAGCTCTTATGTGTCTCTCGTGGATAAATGTTTCTTAAAACATCTTTCAAATAAGAGCCCGGATTCGTCTATACGCTTCGCTTTAGCGAAAAAACTAACTCATAAGTAGCTAAAGTTTCAAAATTTGATCAGTGCTTTCTCCG